GCTGCTGACATTTGTCGGGGTAAAGACGCAGCAGCATCAGCCAGCCTCTTTGCTCCCACACTCCCTCGTCTCAACAACCACTCGAAGCCAGCACACTCCTCCGAGCATCTGTTGAGTCGCAAAGAAACGTCGCACTTTGTCTGTTAGCGCAGCAGCCGTGGCAGCCTCCCGAGCCGGGAAAACACAGGCTGCTGGCTTTGTGTCGTGTCCCCTGCAAAATCTGAGCTTATACACTTTGCAGGCTGCAACTTTGAAATGAACCAGAAACTCAGACATCCAGCCCCCCGCCTCAAGCAATATGAAAACAGCAACATTTGAAAAGCTCAAAAATTCATGTGAAACCGAGCCCCTAAGGAAAACAGGCTGCACCATCCGACAGGAGGCTGTTCAAACCCTACATGCTGTTTATTAGAGCGACTCAGTGGGCATACATTACACTCAGTAACAGATGAGAGCAGAAAATCTTAATGTAATTCACGCTCGTACCCAATGCTGCAGCTGGTGAGATTATTAAACAGGCTTTGCAAATAACGCACCAAATGCTCATTTAGCCACCGTGCACGGAGGGGTGGGGGGTGGGGGGTGCTGCACGATAAAATACCATCTAATAAATTCTTCACCATCTCGCTGGATGAGTCAAACCCTTCAGTGGATTCCAGAAAGACTTCACGTCCAAAGTGTCAATTAAGTCTGAGCCGAGTGCTGATGCAAGCTGCCTTCAAACTGACCCGTTACCAGTTCAGTCCAGATGAGTCAGACGTCCTGAGAGAGAAGAAGAACACACCGCGACCTTTATTGAGACCGTGAGATGTCATAGCAAGGTTATATTAGTTTTGGCAGTTCTATTAGTTTGTACACTGCACTGTTACTTTTTTACTTGACTTATATTTATTTTATTTCATTCAACTTTCTGTCTTCATGCTTCTTTCTTCTTGTTCCTTATGTTGCTTTTACAATAAGCAATGTGTTACACAAATAAACTTGCTTTGCCTTTACAGGAGGATCAAGTTTTACTTGAACTACAGTTTCAGTGGACATTCAGAGGTGAGGAGCTAATACACGCACTCAACCAATCACGAGTCAGCTTCAGCTGTCGGTCATGAAGTTTCTCTCCATCAAATAACTAATTCAACCAAACACAATCAGAAACAGGACTTTTCACTCAGCGGCGCGACTAGAATTTGAAGGCTCCTCCGAATGCGGCCGACAAATGTGTCCTTCCACCCCCGAGCAATGGAGGCTCCATCCCAGCGTATCCCATAATTCATTGAGTTTCAGTGACTAGCTGTTTTTCATGGCAGCAAAAAACGAGGAGAAAACTTCAGAAGAAATAATTTCTAAATGTAAGGACTCAAACAAACCAAAAAATTCAACATTTTGAATCAACCGAAGAACATTTTCGTCTGTAGCTGTGTTGCTAGGTGACGGCTGTAAGAGCGGGACAAGCTGGTGACGCAATAGGAAGACCAGGACGTCTCATCTCGATGCAGCCGACGAACGAACCGCCCAACACATAGGATAAAACCGAACCAACTCCAGGGCTACATGTCTATTTTCACCTGGTTATAAAACAAACTCGTAATCCTCTCTGTTGTAAAATATGGCCGCACACATTTCAATCCTCTCTGATGATTTATAGCCACTGTGAGATGTTTGATATCACCACTCAGTCCTGATATCTATGGCGTGACAGAGGCAAATAGATAGAGCTCAGCAGTCCATGAATCAAATACAACTTGTCTGGGTGTATTAGACGATGGCTGCTGATAGCCAGCTGTAATGAAAAGACTCAGCAACGCAGCCTGAGAGGACGACGTCTACATGTACCGATGGAAGATGATAAGCCACTCTGTCGGAGTTCAATCCATCACGTCAAACTGTACGCTCATTAATTTGAGAGTAAAAAACGTTTCTATAAAGTGGGTAAATCCAAAGCAATGCATCACTAGCACCTGCTAATTTCCAATGTCCGTCCAAGAAGGACTTTTTTCTAGAGTTTTTCTATTTTCATTCAGTCACATTTGAGGAAAGTTAAACTTAAACCTCAGTCTGATCTCTAGCTTTTATCAAATACCTACAGCTATTCATAGTTTATGTTTCGATTAGATTGATATTTTGGTTGTTCCAGTGTCTGTTTAACATGTTTGTGAATGCACAAACATGTATTTTACAAATAATGTGGGAATTTAAAGATGGAGGATGGCTGCCAGTCTAGTTAACAGACTTTGGTATTTTCAGCGGCTGTTATTGGAATTCAGGACACAACCAAACCTCTGCAAACAGAACAGAGACGCTGAACTGAATCTTAACAACAGGTCTGATGGCAACACTGATTACAAAGTGCTGGTGTTAATGTGCAAGACGCATTTCTGAAGACTTCCTGTTGCCAAGATTTAAAGACATGTTTATCTGTTTTTCTTTAAACTGTCTTTTTTACTTTAATAAGTATTATCTTTTTAACTGCCTCTTTGTGAAGAACCATAATCAGTTTTTTCACAAGTACTATGTAAAGATAAGCATTATTGTGTAAATTAAGAATTTTGCTGTTACTAACCTACAAGCTAAAAAGCTTGATTGCTGAATTTCATTTCGAGCATTAGACACATTCATATTTCTTTGTCATAATTTAATTATCGTTTATAAGCCAAGAATCGTCCTCCAGGATTTACTCCGTGACATACACAATATGTAACTGGTAGGAGCACCACCACCCGTTGGCTAATTCTCGAGCAGGCCTCTGAATTATGCCTCGTTTGAAGGTGCTGGACTCAGGGCTGCAGGTTGGTGAGTCAGGAACACAGGAAAAGTACATTAACCCGTCTGTGCCCCGTCCTGTTCTTTGAAAGACCAGAGCTCTCTCTCAGAACAGGACCAAGGTGACCAGGCAGCATGTCTCAGTGTTTTACTGCTGTTTATGTCCCCGTGTTAGAGGGAATATAAATTATGTGAGGCAGATGTGACCTATGCTATACCGCTCTACACAGGCAGCGAGTACAGAAATGAAATTGAGAAAAATGGTTTAAAATTTTTAAGGCTGGCAAATAAATGTGTAACAGAACATGGAGACTTCAATTTACGTCTGTTCAGGCTGATAAACTCTGACTTTGAACCAAAGGGAAATACAAATGTGTTCTTTTACCTTCCTTGTCTAGGAGAAATATCAAATGTGTACATACACACGTTATATACATGAACATGTGTGTATATGTATGTTTATATACAATAAATTCACACATATACATCTTTATACATACAAACAAATACACACATGTATTTATACTCTCTCACATATCTATAATATATACATACGTATATGTGCAGAGCTACATCACTCCTCCAGCCCACCTTGATTTAAAGCTTTCCAGTGACACAGCGTAATCCACAGTGGGACTCATTAAAAACAACAATCATCTCTAACACCCAGCCACACTCTGACAATGAGACCTCCTCCACACACAGAGAAAAACATACTGAGAATTCAATGAGAAAAATGCACTTAGGGAATGAACACTGCCTCATTCACATGTATTTTGACATAGATTTTCCAACTTGCAGGGAGAAAAACCTCCCGTGAAGAATACGACAGCTTCTGGGTTTTTTATAGAACATTTCCAAGCCTGTAGTGTGCTGAGGCAAAGATTGTATTTATAGACGTTTTTCACAGCAGACATTTTAACTTGTTACGGCAGGAAAAGCACTCGTGAACTAGATAACATTAAAAATGATGGCTGGGTGATCTAGTTTCAGGGTCCTGGTATATTGTGTATGCAGACTCACTGTCATTCCTCCCTCGGAGAATTGATGGAACGGAACCATCGTTAACACAATTTGTGTCTGCGGTGAAATGGATCTGCGAATATTATAAAATAAGGAATTCTGAGCTGGATGGTGTGTGTGTGTATATTAGGTGTGATGCAAAAAGAGGACGGCCGCCCTCTTGTTCTAAATATAAAGATTATGATGCAGCTCGGTGCCTGTGTGAATCATCACAGAGCTGGAGTGCCAGTCTGGGACCTATATCCGCCAGTCGCTCATTATAAAGTTTTCTACCGTCATGTGTTCTGACTGCTGATCGTGGATCAGTAAGTGTGATAAGAAGTGTGAATTAGAGATGTTAAGTGGAGCGATTCTTACAACATCCAACAGTACAGAAGCAGCAAAAAGGATTTCCTTTAAACTCGATCTGTCTGGTAACAAATGGACACAATTATCTCAATGGCTGCTCGAGTATGTCATGGTTTGGACATGTGCCACACTTTTCTGTTTTTTTCCCCCTCAGATAACAGTGTAGTGTCTGAGGCAGGGGCTAGAAGAACAAATGAAGGGTAATGAAAATAAGACCCGGCCAAGTCTGAGAATGAATCAGGGCCGTATGAAAGACGGCCTTTTCCTTAAGGAGGCAAAGGATGTTATTAAATATTTAACTGGATTTAAAATTGCATGCTCCTTAAGGCAGGTGTGGAGTCATTTTATGTGAAACCTCGATGCGTTATTATTATTATTACAGCAGCAGGAGTTCAGATGCATGTAAGAGTCGTTATTGGATGCAACATTTGGAGCTTTTACATGTGACGTAGAAATGTGTTTGTTTTGATTGACCCTGATAAAAGTCAAGGGTGGGCGTGGCTCGGGCTGCTTCCCGATCCCCGTTTTTTTGCGTCAGAGAATCAAACATGAACCAACAACAAGCAGCTGAGCTAAAGGACAATTATCACGATACAAGTAAAACCTCTCTGCAAACACTTTGTGCTCCGGGGCTTCACAGATGATGTAACTTTTCCTGTTTGCAGCAGAAATACAAGTTTTGAGGTGATGCGCAAAAAAAACGCAATGTGTCACTCATCGGGGACATTTTCTGAACTTACAAGCAAAGAGAGTTCGATCCCAGGCCAAGCAGAGACATCCAGGTGGACTGTCCCAGTGGACAATCGGTATAAAAAAAAAAAGAGGTGAAACACTTGATGGTGATAATACAGAAAAGGAAGTGGACAGATTCTTACCAAATTTCCTGTCACCGAGGGCAGGTGAGGAGCAGAGGCTGACGGCCAATGCAGCGATGAGGATGGGACAGCGCACCGACTCCATACTGCTCCTGCAAATACAAACACTACTCATCCATCGCACACCTCCGCTACAACGACATGTCTCTGACGCCGTCCCGGGTGCGAGCTGCTGGCGGGGGGGACACGCACTCAAAGCGGCATGGTCGAGGGAAGAGGAGGAACGCGGAGGAGCCCGGAGGATGGAGGTTCGCTCAATGGAAACACAACACAGGCGTTGGTTCAGCACCACAAACAGAAAGCAGCTCCACGGAGGAGCCCCTCCTAACTGTGTGACGTCAAACACGCATGGTGAGGAGGGAGGATGCGCGCAGGGACGCACGGATGGATGTGAGGATGGATGGATGGATGGATGGATGAGGAGAAGGAGAGCGATGAGACAGGAGTGCTGAATGATTACAGCCCGGAAGCCATGCAAGGAAACACACAGAAACCAAGAGAAGAAAATAAATAAATAAGAGGAAGTTGATGATTGATTCATCTTATTAACTTGACTGGAGGAATAAATATGCTGCTCCAAATTTAGATTTATGAGAACATCATGACACAACATTACTGGAAAGCTATAGAAAGCTTCCACCATAGATTTTAATATAACTGCAAAGTCTTATTATAGCAGACATATAAGACAAGATGGTTTATATCGTTTGGATGTTTGAAGGTCTTCTGCACAATTTATGTTACCGGTAAAGGTAAATATTAGTTTTTACTTTTCACCACATTCCACTCACTGTAATTTCCCTATAATGCAATATGATGCTGTGATACAAATAACCTCTTTGCAAACTGCAGTACAGGCAAGAAATACATCTGAGAAACAAACACACATCAGGTCTGTGTTGATTGATAGTCGGCTTTATTCTTAAAACATTACAGCCTACCATGCAAACAGACCAACACACGTGCATTTATATACACACACAGATACATGAAAAATATATATGCATTTCATATGAAATTGTAAAAAAAAAATTGTTTTGTGTGATTTTAGTCTGCCGGCAACAGTAAGTCTGTTATGCTAATAGAAAAGCTGGTGTTATACTTCCCTCCTCTTCTTGATAAAATGCAAATGTATCATGCACAACATAAGTCCTTTGTTACGAGGGAACTTATACATTTAGAATTTCATTTAAGGTCTTCACAGAAGATTCGAAAATAATCCTGTTGGGGAAAAGAAAAGACAATTAACAGTTTACCAACATCTTATGTAAAGGGAACATCTAATGGTCGGATGTCCCTCCACTTACCCCTGGATGTCTGTGCTGTCTGAAGATGTGACTGCATGTTTGTGAAGCTGCTGCTGGACAGATGTGGCTGTGCTCTTCAGGCCCCCTTTACACTGCCCCGCTACAGAAGAAAAAAAGTCTCACGCACTATTCATCTTTAAGAGCAAAGACAAGAATACCTGACAACATCGGATTACTCCTGTCATTAACAACCTGTTTAAATTTGCCCTCTCCTGGAGAATACTCACCGTGTTTGATGACAGACAAGACGTGCAGGACGGCAGCCAGTTCATACAAACTACTGATGGCCTCCGACTCCAGGGATGAGCTGACCTCTGTCAAAAACGCCCTGAAACAAGCCCACATCATGAAATAATGCTTTAAAACAACTGTAGATGTGTTCAACAGAAGAATAAGGTTAAACTGTCGAAAAGATCAGACAAGATGAGGTTACGTGCCCTCGGGTGAGCTAAGTTTTCTGTCCGTGTTAGAGAGAAGGGGCTGAGGATGTTTACCTGCTAACAGGCGAAGACTTGAGGATGACAGACAGCAAGATGCGGGACAGAGGAGGCATGTCCTCCACTGACTCCGGGGTGATCACCTCTTCAGGATGGGTTATCTTCAAAAAAACGAGCACAGCAGCTGACAACACACTCTAAATATTTCAGTCTACTCCTGATAAATCATTCCCTTCTTTAAACTGCTGAGGAATACACACAGAGAGTTCAGCCCTTTTCAGTTCCAGGAGATGTTGGTAAAAGCAGCAGGGTGTTTTCATTGCTGTGCCAGCTCATACCTTCTGGATCAAATGTCTCTTCTCCACAATGATGACAGCAAACACAGTAGAGAAGACCCCGCTGAGTGGTGCTGTGTCCCAGGTTTGAGCCACCTGGAGGAAATCTGTCAGACCAGGCACAGCTGCCTCACACAGCTACAGACAGGGCAGAGAGACACAGGGAATGACTGTACTTGTCAGAATCTGGTCCAGTTCAAGAGAAACGCTGAAGTGTAGATCCGTTAAAGAGACAGACGTCATTTCAAACCAGCATTTAGCTCCAATATTCAGCCAAGAAAGTTTTAAAATATGACGAATTCAAGAGTTTGGTGGATTTGTTACAGCAGCAGCTCAGGAAGCCGGGGATCATGGGTAATATATCCACAATTCACTTGTGTTTCAGTTCAGTGGGTGGAACTACGCAGTCTACAGCTTTACAGGCTTCGTTTTTCCTCAACATGAAAACCACTTAATCACTCAACAGAGCTCAACAGAATTAACCCGACTCCTGCAAAACTGACGCTCTGAAATCAAGAGCCATTTTCACAGCACTTCTAACAAACCAAATATTCCTGTTGTATTTACAACTGCTATTTAAACAACCAGTGTGGAGGCCCACTAAGATTAAGTAAGAAGTAAGCAACATTTATGTAAATCAAAAGTACACTTAATAAATACAAAAATGGAAAAATCAGCGTACCTGTTTCCCCTCCTCCGGTTCCTTCCTAAGGCGTCGAGCTAAGAGCTCTATAACCTTCTGGAAGATGTTGGCCACCACACCCAGAATGACAGTGGTTGGATCCTCCTGATTTTCCTGATCCTGTTTGTTGTCGTCAGGAACATAACTGGCTGCCACTTCCTTCAAAATTGGCAGCACAGCGGGAATACAAAGGAAGCCGGCCTCTGAAGACAAAAGGAAACCAGTTTATTCAGGTTAGGAAACATGAAAATTATGTCTTCTGTTCAAAATCAAACTGGATGTTTTGAAACACTCACCTGAGAGAAGGACGAGCGAGCAGAGGTGAAGGATTTGACCCTTGAACTCGTCGTCACCCAAACCCACAAGCAAAACATCTCGGCACACTGTCAGGAAGCTCTGGTAAAACGCATCAACATCATGATGAAGAAAAACTTTTCACACTCAATCAATAGAGATGACACAGAGTCTAAGAGGAACATTTCAGAAACTGGCCGCCTGTAGAAGGAATGACACTGAAAACATAATTGCACAAATAAGGAAATACACTCATTTCAGTGTGGCAGTATGAGCAGGGGATTTGTTCAGTGCAGTGTGTGTGGACTGGAGCAGAGCAATGTATGAAGAGCCTGAATTTACCGAGCAGAACTGAAAGTCCTGGGAGTAGAATGTTTAATGTTCTGGATAATGACAACTCTTAATTTTTCCTGATAGCATCAGCACGGGCTGAGAATCAGATAGTAAATGGGTAAAATAAATATTAAAACTGACAATTCATGAATAAGGAGATGTGATTTAATTTAAATTTTAAGCCTGGATTTGCCTGCACAGAAATGATTTTTGCTTGGATTGATGATGTTAATGCAAAAATAATTTAGGAAATCGAGTTGTGATCCAACACACAACCATCCATTCATATCATCCACATCCCACAAACTCAACATTTTTAATATCAACAGGCACCAGAACGATTCGAAAACATTGGATGCAGAAGGGTAGTGAAAGACATAAGAGTCATATGGATGCATGTAAGTTTGGCTTTTCAAAGCTTCGTTTTCAAATTAACAACAGTAGCTCACCTCAGTTATCTGTGTGGCGAGCGGCTGCGACTTCTCTGAATCCCCCCCGTCATTCTTGGTCAGGAAAGGTAACACCCTTTCTGCAACCCAAGCTGCCACGTGCTCCAGGGAGAGCAGGTAGTCACGACCCTCCGAGGCCTAAAAAACAAGCAAAGTTTTTCATTCATATTTATTAAAGTAACAGAAGGCCAAGGATTGTTGTTGCACTGAGAACCTGAATCTACAGCTCAAAACAAAACACCCCGAAAGGAAACTACCTCCTTAACCTGGAAAGTAAATGTATTAGCAAGAGTTCAGTTTTTCCACTGGACCTGCACCTGGTAAAGAAGCTAAACAGTGTAATGTGTGTTAATCAAGACACTCACGTTATGTTGCAGATGTGCACCGAGACGGCCCTGGAGCATGAAGGCTTTCAGGGCCGTCTCCAAACTGGGCCTTGGTAGATCGTCTGTAGTGGAGCTGAGGTGATTGTGCAGCACTGACTGTGGAGACAAACACTGAATCATATATCTGAGGGAACACCATTCATACAACATGTGTGGATGGATGCTATTAAGGCAGGATTATATGGACTGAAAAGGTAAATGTTTAATAATAGTGAATGATATCCAACATACCTTCCAGTTACCCAGAACTGTGAGGAGCTGAGTCAGTGGTTTGTGACCCAGCGCCATGACTTGCTGTCGTGTTGAGGTGTGGCTGAACAGGTACTCCAGGTAAACCAGTGCCAGGTCGGGTTTCGCCTCCACCGTCTCCTGGATACGCACCTTTCGACTGGCGTTAGCTTTTTCCTGAAAGTGGTAGAAATATAACTTTCACAGAGAGTAAAAAGAAACGTGCCTGTGTTAAACCTCTTTTCATTAAAATCTGAGAAAGCTAATAAATGCATCAAGCACATAACACATCTTTTGACCTTCTTGTCTGTTTCCAGCTCTTTTTACATGTTGTACTAACTCACCTTGTGCTTGGGCAGAGTGAGCCATTCAGTGACGAGCTCGAGGATGTCAGCGGCCTGACCCCAGCTACACATGCAGTCTAACAGCTGGCTGTACTGTGCTGGCGCCGCTCCTGGCTCCAACTTCTTCAGCCTGGACAAAACGCTGCAGCTGGGAAGGACAATGCAAAACGAGGGAAACAGGATAGTCAGTAAAAGAAAAAAGTCAAATGGGTTTTAAACGTCACATAACATGTAAAAGGTCACATGAGATTGAGACAGAGACACAAGAAGGTGTTTTACTGCTGACCTGAATGTTGGAACTGCAGCTGGGGGCATAAACGAGGCCAGTTGTATGAGAGGAACGGTACATCGCTCATCCTGAGAAACACAGATAAAGTCTCAGTCTAATACTAATTCTTATCTGGTAGAAAAATGTGAACATGATGTACCTCAAAGGCCTGGAAATATTTGGACATGATATTCCCAAACTTGGCAAACGTGTACTTCTGAGCCTCTTCATTCTGT